TAATAGGAGAGGACTTGATCACACCTGTCTCAGTACTGGACAGATCATCTAGGCAACAAACCAACAGAGGAACAGTCAATCTATCAGATGGAAAGAACAAATCTATGGTTACTAGAGGGGGAAGGGGGAAGTATTTACTTAGTATTTACTTAGCAGTTTTCTTTTAAACATTCAAGTTTTCTTTACTCAAATCTATTTAAAAGAAATTTTGAGATCATTATTCTAAATGGATAATGAATCTCACTTGCTTCAATAGAAGATAATCCTAAAAACAAATACAAGGAAAACAATGCTATTCAATTCTAGCTATATACTGAGGCCTGTCAAAGGCTCTGACCTGAAGCCTGTTCTCACCGTAAAAAACTAAATTCAGTGGGTTTTAGAGGGATTAGAGACATACTGGCACCAACTTAGATTTCCTCCTTCGGAATGACTGAAGGAGAAATGAAAAGGGAATAACTTGCTCAGTATGTGATTTACTGCGATTTAATGCCACCGTCTATTTCCATCAGAAATCATCTCAGCATGCTTCCCATGCTTTGGGAAGGCCATTAGAAGATGAAGTGAAGGAGCACTGTTCATTTACTATTGATCATTCTTGTATTCAAAGGTGTGTTATATGCACTGATTATAATTTTTCAATGGCACACATTATATTCTATTTTCTATCGATTTCAACTCCCATTCAGAAACATAAAAAATTATTCTTTATCTCTAATATTTAAACTCAAGAGAGAAAATCTGGTTTTCCAAGATGGGAAATTCATACCAGATTTGGCTGTACACCATGGTGCACTCCACAGCATTGGTTAAAATCAGGAATAGACCTGTAAAATAAGCTTCTCCCAAATCTATCCCTATCAAGTAAAAACAAAAACTAAATAATCTGGAACAAGGCTTTCAAATTTTTTAAAAAGTGTTTTCAAAATTTAACACTGTACATTTTCAAATTTTTAAAAAAGTGTTTTCAAAATTTAACACTGTACAAGTGATATTTATTTAAGCCATCAGAGGTAGCTGTATATTATTCTTGCTTTTATAGATAAGGAATTGAGCCTGGGATGATATTTGCAAGAGATGTTCCTAAGACTAAGCACAAATTAATAACAGATGAAAAACAGAATTTGATATATTCCTCAGGCCACTTTCCAAATGGTGTTATAAAAATTCAGAATTTATTAACCCTTCATAATTTATTAAAAAGAAATTTGTGCTTAAAAATCTAATATGAATTACTTCAGCAACATTCTAAAATTACTTTGCAATTTACACATTCCTTTTAAACATATCCTTACTCTCAGTATTTTTTATTGGAAATATTATATATTTAATCAGAAGATATACATTTTAGATAATTCTATTAGGAAATTTAATTCACACTAAGAACATTTACAAAATATAAAAACTTCTTCTTACTAGTCAGTTCATATTTTCCATTTCATTCAGTTATTCAAAAAATATTTATTAAGTGACTAGTTTGAGTCAGCCACTGTTCTAGGCAATGGATATACAGCAGTGAAAAAAGACCACAACAGACAAAAACTTCCACCCTTTTGGAAATTACATTCCAGTATCCTTTAGGCTCTTATTGAAATATTGCATATTTCCATTTTTAAGAAAATTTTTATTTTATTGTGATTTGGGTTGGAAGAGGTGTTATGAATAGAATGCCATTCTCTTATTCCTTAGTAACTAGAAGTTTGTATAGTCATCTTTGAGAGTGTATGAAAACACAATAAAAACAGTAAAAAGAAACGCAAAACATTTTCCTTTGCTTTGTGAGACTTTGTTCTCATTTTCACTATTTTATAGAAAAGCCCTGGGGGCAGGGAACCATGACTTACTTGTCTTTGTGTCCTCAGCATGCAATCCCCCCAAACTAGCACATAAATGGTGCTAACAAGAAGTACTGGGTAAATGAATAACTTAAATATATAGGTACTTGCTCACAGTAAAATCAAACCAGAAGAAACCAAAACTCTTGCGTGGATTTTTAACAAAATATATACATACAAAGTGGTCTGAATGGGAACTACTTGTGCTACCACCTTCTTGTACACCTGTCTGGGATTGCCTCCAAGAAAACTCTAAAATCTCTACCAGAGGGCCATCAAAGAATAATCGCACACCATAATTGTTACCCAGAACGGAACCTACATCTCATCTCTTCACTTTCCGTTAACAAATCACCAGAGTCTAGGAGTGGGGGAAGACTGTGCGTGCTGGGGAGGTAGGGTGTGTGTGTGGAGTGTGGGGGGTGGTGTTTAGGGATGGTATGGGTGACAAAAAGTGGTAAGGTGAAAAATAAGAATCAATGCTTCTTTATCTCAGTTGTCTCAGATAAAGGTGAATGCCTCAATTACTTTTGAGCCAACCATATTGACTAGAGGGCTGTCCCAGAGATATACAGAATTGGATGACTAAAATCTTAAAATCTTATCTCTTCTTAATTTTCCTTCCTCCTACCACCTCCCCCAGCACCATAGGGCGTTTAAGGCAAAGCAAAATGGGCCAAAAATGCCATTCTTAATGTGGGAAGAATATGCTATCTAAATGTGCCCGGAAAACAAACAAGGAGAGATTTCAGTGTTTAACTATAGAAACAACCAGTTATAAGTCAGAAGAAAAAGCGTCTGCACTGACACATTTCCTTTTCAGCATCATGTTCAGCCAGACAAATACAAGCTTAGGAAGACGATTTTATGTCATTTCTTCCAACTCTGGAAACAATTCTGCCGCAAGGCTCAATAGTCCAGGTAAAACTATTCATTTCGTGACTCATGGATCACTGATTGTACATCTTTATGGAAGAAAGTTCTTTTTCTCTCGGCTGTTCAGAACCAACAATGTTCGCAAAACATTAGGATTCCAGAGAGGAATTAGAAAAGAAGAATTTTGCAGATTTCGTTGTCCGAAAATTCATTAACCTCTACCGTTCCCAACCAAGAAGCTGCCTGAACAGTCTTTATTTTACTATAACAACCTAACTTAGTTTTCTCTTTAGCAGAACGGGATCCACAGACGCAAAAAACGTGACAATGAGAGGCTAAAAGAAACTTCCAGCAGTGAATTCTTCAGTTGAGTAATTTGAGGAAGTAAGCATGCTTATTCATTTGAAATATAAACTCAACTACTCCAGACAGAATCTGTCACTAACACTGAAGAAAAAGATTTAACTTTATGTACGCACATTCCACTGTGGCATCACTCACTCCTATAACGTTTTTGCAAAATAAAAAATAAATAAATAAAAAAGGCTCAGTACTTTAATAAGGTCTTTTTCTTCCAATATTATCATCATCCCATCCACTGCTGCAACATAAAGATGTGGTTTGAAGAATTTCCCATCTCAAAGAATGCCTTGTATCCCCATCGGCAAAGTAGGCACACACTGGGAGGTCAGCCAGGATGTGGGACTGGCCTCCTATAAAACTGGATTTTTGTACGTACGTTAAGCGGGATTCTACCTGCACTTGCAGTAGTTTTAAATTCACTAAAGCTCTCTACTCTTCAAAAACACAATCCTACAATTCGGAGAATTCTTTCACTTTTCCATTTTTGGCAAAGAAAGGAAAAATAGATTTTAAAACAGATTTTCAAAAAATTTTGGCAACAGTTTAAGTACATTTTTGGAGGTAGTTTAATATTTTCTTTGGTTAGAAAAGTTTACGCAAAGTCAAAAATTCTATATTGTGCCTTGGGAACGCTATTTCGACATACTCCAAGACTGCAGTAGAGCCGTCGTTTTCCTACAGCATGGAAATAGAAAACATAAACCAGAAAAACAACAGGCAGGTTGTCAGGAGGTCGAGAAGGATAGAATTAAGTTACCCCGCAAGCAAGACAGTTGTCAGAGCCGCACTTCGGGTTTGTTGGTTCCCGTTCCTCCCCTCCCCCCCGCCGTCCCTACGCCAGAGCGCTGATGTCCCCACCAGCAAGATGGGCGAGGCAGAGATTCTCTCTGAGCCGCGGGTTCTTCCAGCGCCGCGCACCTGCCGCCCCTCCTCCTCCGCGCGGTCGCAGCCAACTTCCCGCAAGACGCCTCGGCCCCTTGGGCAGGGGAGCACCTGGCCCGCCCGCTTCGTCCCCCTCCACCCCGAGCCTGCGGGGGCGAGGGCGAGCCTGGCGCCCAGATTAGTGGGCCGGCCGCGCTATTTTTTTAAGTCGGCCTCCTGGGGGATGTTGGATTTGGCGGGGTGTGCTCTTTGAAATACTATATTGGGAACCTCACACATTAAAAAAAGATTTTTTTTTTTAATTGCGAACCTTCCCGGTTCACCCCGCCGCCGAAGAGCAGGCCCGAGGCGGCGTCCCCTCCCGCCGCCCCCGTTTCCCCCCTGGCCTCAGAGGACTCGAGGGAGCCGCCCCCTCCCGGGCGCCCACTTGGTTGCTCCCAGCTGCCGTGTGAATGGGCCGCCCTCCGGATTCCGCGGAGGCGGCGGCGGGAAGAGGCCGAGCCCTAGCCCCGGCGGCCGCCCCCGCCCCCGCTCCGCGGCAGCCCACGCCGGGATCTGCGTCACTCGGCCGCGCGTGGGC